TGCCAATTTAACAGAGATGTGGAGGAATTTCTTCTCTAAGAGGATAGTGAATTAATAGAATTTGTTACCACAGCGGACTGTCAAGGCTGGGTTGATAACTGTATTCAAGGCTTATGTTGGAAAGGCAGGGAAGTAGAGTTGAGGATCATCAGATCAGTCATGATCTCATTGAATGGCAGAGTAAACACAATAAGATGAATGGCCTCCTTTTGCTCCTATGTCTTATGGTCTCATATAGCAGTTTCTGAATATATGCAGCCTTAAGCTTGAGATTCCATACTCCTTTGCAAAGAAATCACCACCTCAGTGATTTCAAGTGTACCTGGCTCTTCGTTAGCTGTGTATTCCTTTGTTGACAGATGGTAAACCGTTCTCTCACCTTTATTAATATATTCATTTGTGGGATGTAGGCGTTCCTAGCTGACCAGCATTTATTGCCTGTCCCTAGTTGCCCTTGGAGAAGGTGGTGGTGAGCGGCCTTCCTGAAGTGCTTTAGCCCTTGTTCTTGGATTCGCAGCCCTCCTCTCCTGCTGCAGCTACCCATTCTCCCTGCTCTGCATCCTGCCCTACTCACCGTCCCCACACTCCCACTCTTCCCAAATTGCAGCTTACACTTCTCCCTCACCCCAGGATTCTTCTCTCCTCTTATCCATGGCTAACACTCATTCTCCTTCAATTGCAGTCTTTTCCCCTCCTCCCTCATATCTCTCACTAGTGAGCTCTCAGCAGCAAATACATGTGAAAACCAGCCTGCAATTGGAGCAGTAGCTACAGGCAGACTCCATTCGTTCTATTCACAGGGGGAAAGAGTTCTCTCTGACCAGCTCCCCCAGCCAGTGATTAAACTTTCCTGGGCATTCTGGGGACCCTCATGGGCAAATTTACTGAGCAATAGTGTATTTTGAGCACTGGCAGAAAGTAAATATTTTACAAAGAAGCTGGTTTAATAGGAAGGTGGTGGAGAAAATCACTGACACAAAAGTTGGTTGGTGTAATGGAAAAATGGCATCATTGCAAGAGATCAAATGGGCTGCACCCACATTGTGAGCTATTTCTCTTTAATTAACACAAGATGCACGTGTTCATCAGCTGCCTGCATTGGAGGAGACAGCAGCATAGTGATAAATGTAACTAGGCAATAAACGCAGAAGTCCAAATGAATGGCAGCTGGTGGAATTTAAATTCAATTCATAAATCTAGGATGTAAAATGAGTTTGAGCATCAGTAACCTTGGAACTATCAATTGTTGCAAAAACTCATTTAGGAAATTTTTGAGGAAAGGAAATCTGCCATCCTTACCAAGTCCATTCTACACATCACTCCAGTCATACAGCAATGTGGCTGACTCTTAACTGCCCTCTGATGTGGCCTGGCAAGGCAAGGAGAAAAATAAACCTTGCCAGTGATATCTACGTCCTATGAAACAATAAAGAAAAAATCCTCATAGCACCAGGGCTGTGTTCCATTCCAGCCTTGGGTGACTGTCTGTGGAATTTGCACATTCTCCCTCTGTCTGCCTGGGTTTCCTCTGGGTGCTCCAGTTTCCTCCCACAGTCCAAAGATGTGCAGGTTAGGTCGATTGGTCATGCTCAACTGCCCCACATTGTTTAGGGATCTGCACGCTAGGTGGGTTAGCCACGCGAAATATGGGGTTATGGGGGATGTGAGGACTGGGTCTGGGTGGGATGCTGTTCAGAGGGTCAGTGCAGATTTGATAGGCTGAATGGCCTCTTCCACATAGTCGGGATTCTATGATCTCTGACAACAGCTGGTTCCCTAATTGAGAACTTGCACCATTTTTCTCTCATTTTCTTCGTGGAACCATTAAAACAGTGATCTTCACTTACATCCTCAGCCTTGGACTTTTAGAAAAGATTCCAAGGCGGTAAACAGAAGAACAGAAGAATTCTCTATGGCATCTACTCCAAGAACTTACTTCTTAGCCACTGCCACTAAAACAATTAATAAATGCCACATTTCTCTACAGTGCAACAGCAACTGCACTTAAAAAGATTGGTTGTGAAATCATTCATGTGCAATAGCAGCTTGTGTTAAGTATTAAAAAAATGCATGGCACTCATGACTATACCCCAAAGAACAGCATTCATTGGGAAACCAACAGCTAGCAAAGAATTCAAATAGTTAGAATGGAGATTATCAGATCTGGGTTCAAGATAAATCCGGAAAGAAATCAATGAGAGAGAGAACTCAGTTGCTGAAGAAAAAAAAAAATTTGAGGTTGGGTTTGGCATAGGGTTGCCAACTTTCCAGGATTGTCATGTAGTCTCCATTAGAGGCGGTACGGTGGCACAGTGGTTAGCACTGCTGCGTCACAGCACCAGGGACCTGGGTTCGATTCCACCCTCAGGCAACTGTCTGTGTGGAGTTTGCACATTCTCCCCGTGTCTGCGTGGGTTTCCTCCAGGTGCTCCGGTTTGCTCCCACAGTCCAAAAATGTGCAGGGTTAGGTGGATTGGCCATGCTAAATTGCCCATAGTGTTCAGGGATGTGTAGTTTAGGTGGGTTATAGGGGAATGGGTCTGGGTGGGATGCTCCAAGGGTCAGTGTAGACTTGTTGGGCCGAAGGCCCTGTTTCCACTCTGCAGGGATTCTATGATAGTCACTGATTAGCCTGCTGCACACTGTTAAGAACAGCTTCTGAGAAAACAAAGCGTGTCTTGTGCTATTACTTTTAGTACTGGGGAAGAAGTCTGGTTGGACAGGGCAGTTAGAAGTGGAAGGTCACGTGATGACACCTCCAGGATTGCATTCAAACGGAGTTGGAATCCTCAGGTTGCAGCAGGAGTATGTTAAAAGGAGAAGGCAGTATACATTTCAGTAAATATAGAACAAACATAGGATAGATAGAGTCTGAAGGTTAAAAAAAAACTACATGTCCATGCTGCCAAAGGAAGATTGAATTTGGGAACAGGGTGAGTGTAAGAGAAGGTTGGGCAGCATAGATGGAGTTTTAATATACAAAAGCAGGTGGTGAAGCAAGAATAGCAACAAAGAGAAAAACATGGCAAATTTTATGAATGGATATGCAGCTTAGATTGGAGGAATCAAGGAAAGACAATTATTGAATTACTTGAGATGTACCTGATTGGGGATAATTAATTTGACAACACTTGTTTAAACTTAGACTTGTACTTTTTTTCAGCTTTTTCCATGACCTCAGAATGGCTGAAAACAGTCTTCTGCCCCTTAAATACTTTTGAAGTCTAGTCACTGTTGTAATACATGAAATTTATATAGCTGAGGAAGAAGAACAATGTAATTAGTTTTACATAGTGTCATCTGAATGCTAATTAAGTGTAACTGATATATAGACAATAACTGAATAGCAGACAGCACTGGGACATCATTACTGAAAAACTTTACTAAATCCTGACAAGACTTGGGTATGAAAAAGAGATTGGTAAGATTTAATGCGTAATCAATACTTACATTAAAAATCTGCATCAGCAAGTGGAGCTGGTGCAAATAACCACACAATGCTGAGCTGTAGCAAGTTGTGACTCATTCAGGGCTTGGGCACCAGTCTCACAAGAAAACAACAATGAAGAGGTCACGAAAATTGGGGGAAGAGGGAAAGCTGGGGATCATTAAAGCGTACATGAAAACTGACAGTGCAGAGGGAGCAATATCATCATTCAAGCAAGGAGTAGGAGGCCATTCAGGCCCTCAAGTTTGCCTGCACCACCATTCAATAAAATCCTGGTTGCTCTGATTGAGGAGTTGAGTACAGGAGCAGGGATCACTTGTTGCAATTGGACAGGGTCTTGGTGAGACCACACCTGGAGTATCGTACGCAGCTGTAGTCTCCTTACCTGAGGAAGGATGGAGGGAGTGCAATGAAGGTTTATCAGACTGATTCCTGGGATGACAGACCAATGCATGAACAGAGACAGGCTCAGTTAGGACTATATTCACTTGAGTTTACAAGAATGAGTGGGGAGTCCTGTATAAACCTATAAAATTGGAACTGGACAAGAGAGGGTTAACGTAAGAAGGATGTTTCCAATAACTGAAGGAGTCCAGAGTCAGGGATCATAGTCTGAGGACACAAGGTTGGCCTTTTAGGACTGAGATGAAGAGAAGTGTCTTCACCCAGAGAGTGGGGAGCCTGTGGAATTCTCTTCCACAAAAAGCATTTGCCAAAACATCAAATGTTTTCAAGGAGGAGATTATATAGCTACTACTGCTGAGGGCATCAAAAGGTATGAAGAGAAAATGGGAAATGGGTGCTAACTGGGATGATCAGCCAGGATCAGATGAATGGAAAATTACTGTCAACGATTGCAACCTCAAATCCATATTTCACTACCCACCACCCCCCCACCGATCCTGATAACCTTTTACCCACCATTGATCAACAAGGATCTACCTACTTTTGCTTTAAAAATATTCAAAAGTTGTCCTTCCACACCTTTTCAGGAAGTGTTCCAAAAACGTGCGACCATCTGAGAGAACAATCTTCACCTCATCACTGTTTTTAAAAAGGGTGACCCTGATTTTTAAACAGTGACTCGTATGTCTAGATTCTCCCATAAGAAATATCCTTTCTACGTCTTGACAAGACCCCTCAAGATCTTAAATACAAATACACAGATTACATGGATGAGTGAACCAAGCAAAACGTGGATCCAGAAGAGAAACCATTACTGTGCTTTGATAGGTGAGAACATACACACTATAGAGAAGTACAGCAGTCACAGAGAATGTTATTCATGACTTTGACTAGTGATATGGTTCTAGCATAAGTCTATATTAGCCCCCATGATTTGCTATATCATGTCAGACTCTGGCAAACTTCCTGCCTCACTAAGGCCATTTCCTGGAAAAGTATGACATAGACCAATGCCCTCAGAATTAGAACTCACTTTCATGATCCAAGTTGCTCAAATAAACACACAGTTTCGTAGGTCAGAAAGTGACTGACCATCCAATATATGTAAAACAGAACCGACAGGACCGTACAATGCTTAACTACGAACCACTCCAATGAGGTCTCCGCGGCCGTATTCTCCTGCTAGCTCCTTCTTCTTATCATCCCTCATGATGACTGAGCGGAGTCGACCATTCAATACAATAAACGTGCAGTCTGATCTGTCCCCCTGCCTGCAAAAAAAAAACACAGATCGAAAAGTCATTATTACCATCACTTGGGGAATAAGGTATTTACTGCCCTCATGACTCCAAATAATGCAACACAGTGTACAAATTCAATACATGGTGGAGCTGGAGGAATACAGCAGGTTAGACAGCATCACTGGAGCAGGAAAGTTGACGTTTCGGGTTTAGATTCATTAGGACTGGTCCTGATGAAGGGTATAAACCCAAAACGTCGACTTTCCTGCTCCTCTGATGCTGCCTGACCTTGTGTTCCTTCAGCTCCACACTGTATTGACTCTGACTCCAGCATCTGTAGTTCTTTCTATCTCTAACCTAATGTACAGTCTGCATGTTGAGGAGATTTCAATAAGGATACAGTCAGTTGAGCCTCCAGTGCAGTCTTATTTTGCTTTTGGATCTTCAATTATCGAGCACAAAACATACCTGCATTGACTAAGTTATACTTCATAACTTGATTTTTCAATCAAAACATTAAGATACAGCCAGAATATGGAGCATCTCCTATGGCCTGTCCAAACACCAGCAGATCCATCAGATTGGTAGCAACACCAACAAGGTTCGAACAAATACTATTCGTCAGAACACTGCAAATACTGAAACCTTTTACTAAATTCACTTTCAATGAAGTGCATTATAAGCATGTACGGGGCGAGGATGTCTTGCTGCAATTCGACAACAGCCTTGGTTTGACTGCAACTGGAGTATTGCATATAATTTTGATCTCCTTACCTAAAGGAGGATATACTTGCCTAGAACAGTAGTCCACCAGGCTAATGCCTGGGAGAGCAGGATTGACAAGGAAAGACTAAATAAATCTGGCTTGTATTCTCTAGAGCTTTGGAAAATGAGAGGTGATTTCATTAAAACTTAGAAAATTGTTACAGGGCAGGATACGATGGAAGTAGTTACCCCGGCCAGTGAGACTCGAAAGGGGACACAACTTCAGAATAACGGAAAGGCCATTTAAGTTCGCGATGGGGAGGAATTCCTTTAGTCGGACAGTGGTGAATCGATGGAATTGTCTACAAATCCCAATGGAAGCTCAATCATCGAGCAGGTTCAAGCCACATATCAATAGATTTCTAGTTAGTAATGACATCAAAGGATGTGAGGAAGTTGGGGAAAATGGCACAGAAATAATGAGCAGCCATGATCTGTTTAAATAGCAAAGCAGGTTGAATGGGCTGAATGGCCTAATCCTGCTCCTTTGTCCTTTATCTTATGTTGCTCACTATCTTCATGGGTCTGCCTTGATTCAGCTTGTAGTGCATTTGCCTCCAAGTCAAAAGGTTGTAGGCTCACTCTAGAGACTTCAGCACATTAACAATGCTGATACCTCAGTGCAGTACCCAAACAGAATTGTCTTTTGGTTGAGATGTTAAACTGAGGCCTCCATTTTCCTCAGGTGTGAGTAAAAGATCATATTACAGTATTTTCAAGAGCAGTGGGACAGCTCTCCATGGTTACCTGACCATTATATATCTCTCAATCAACACAAGAGCAGATACCTGGCCATTATCACATTAATGTAGGACTTTGTTTATGCACAAGTTAGCACATTACAATGTGCCATAGTAGGAAATATACTTCAAAAGTACTCAGTTGCTGGAAAGCATTATGCAATGTCCTGAGGTCATGGAAAATTTAAAATAAATTCTCCAAAGATCTCTAGACAGCACCTTCCATCTAGAAGGATAAGGGCAGCAGATACATGGGAACACCGCCATTTGCAAGTTCCCCTCCAAGCCATTCGCTGACTTAGAAGTATATCGCTGTTCCTTCACTGTCACTGGGTCAAAATCCTGAAATTTCCTCCCCAAGGGAACTGTCGGCCTACAGCACTTAGATTGCAGCGGCTCAAGAAGGCCACTCACCACCAGCTTCTCAGGGTCAACTAGAGACAGGCAAGAAATGCTAGCCCAGTCAATGACACCCATGAGAGAATATATTTCTTTGTTTCTCAATTCTTTCTCCAGATCCATATAACTTAATGGATTGAATCCTATCCTGTCCTCATCCACTAAACCTGAGGGCATCACCACGGTTCGATGTCCCTCGATTCAAGGATGATATCTACTCAGGTTCTCCACGTGGCTGAAAACATTGATTCACAACTTGCTGATCTTGAACCTGGAAGGTTATGGAATCTGAACGGCAGGATTTGCTTCTTTGCTTCACCATTAAAGCGACTCAAAGTGTGATGCATTCTGAACGACTAGTCACAACTCGACCCAATCATTAAGGCAGTGCAGGAAAGTGAGACGGCACCCTGTGAGGGCTCCTCAAGTGTGATCAGCTGCAGCCAGCTTGACTTCCAGAGCTCAGAACTTAAACAGTAGCTAACATCACTGCAGTGCATCAGAGGATTGAGAGCTATGTGGATAAGGTGCTTCTTCTCTTTTTACACTTGTGTGGCTCAATTTAACTTTTGTTTCAATTCTTCATCTTGATAATCTGATAGCTTTTTCCGAGAACATTCACAGAACTGAGCTCAAACTTTCTCAGCTTCAAACAACCTCCTGTCTGGAACTTCCAAATTAAACTCCTTACATGGAGGAGGTGAATCTATTTCCTAGCAATCCTAAATCACCTCCCTTTCTCAGGCACAACTATTTTCCACATCCAGTTTTAGCCAAGATTTTGGTCCTGACCAAAACCAAAACGAGAAAAACAATCCCTAACTTTCTAAACTGAAAACTTAAAGCACAATTGTTAACTATGTTTGCTGTTAAAAACCTCCCAATGTAAACAAATTCCCATTAGTGTCCCTGACTTATTTGTCTTGGACTTTTATAAATAATTATGTTGGTTAATGAAAAACAAAGTTAATCATTAAACCCTTTCTGACATATAGAAAACTTAAATGCTACTAGTCTAAAATTCAAAAATCCAAAATAAATTATATTAAAACATATATCAATACACACCTTACATAATACCACAATACCAATGTCTCATCCTCTGGCTGAAACTCTCAGAACCTGGTTTGTCGGCCCATTGTTTTACAGCAATTTGTAAAGCTCTGAAGTATTTGAGAGCTATTTTGCAGGTTTCCATGATTCACTGTCAGAAAGCGGGTGTCATAGAACATGGAAGATTCATCATTCGCTCCTAAAATCTTTTCTTTAAATAGTTTCAGAGGATCCATTACCTCACGACCTCATTAAACTAACTCAAAACAATTGAAATTGATTGACTCGTTACATGAATCCTACAAGAGAATCTCCCGTCCTTTGTCCCAGTCATGACGGTACTCATCACAGTATATTCTGATCAATATTTTTGATGTTTCAACCTTCCCCTTCTCCCCACCCTCTCAGCAGGGTCACAGGGAGGTCCAAATGCATTGCCTACATTGTTACGTTGGCTAGATTACCTAATTCTATTAGGACAAGGACTGAATCTTGGATCTTCTTGTTACATCTATTCTACATTGCACAGTGCATTTTTGCTACCGAAATATCCATTGATCATGTATAAATATTTGCATTGACCTTCATACCTGTACACAGCTCGTCCAGCTTCTACTGCCATCCAGTCCAAGGCAAAATCAATCTGTCGCACAAATGGAGACATTCTCCTCACCACAGTGTGAGCAACGGTTAACACCACATTAGGTTTCTCCCTCATTATCCTTTAAGAATGAAACAAAAAGCAATACAGCACATGTTCACTCTCTACAATGTCAATCAAATCCAGTTACATTAAATAGCTTTGGCCAACATGGTTTCTTGTGAACCATAGCTGTGATAAACAGAAGTGTTCAAACCATTAACAAAGTTAGAATCATTTAGCTTGTCTTGGTTTGAAAGGTTAGGAGTTCAAACCTCAGTCCTGGACTTGACCAATCAATCACAGTCAAAGCTAAGAATCACCTAAGTTCCACTCTTAGGAACTCCTCACCAAATTTATACAGCTTTCTAAATTCACCATAGTAAACAAACATTGTTTTGTCTTTGAATCTGACTTTATCTAGTTTGGGGAAGCACTTTGTCTTAGATTAGAAAACCTCCCAATGTGTACACATAAATAGTTGTTGATATTTTGAGTTGTGAATTGTGAGGATGTGCTGTATTGTTAAACACGATCACCCTTCAAATAAGCTGAACTAAAGCCCTGTCTGCGTGCTCGATAAAGATGAAGTTGCACTAATTGACAAGGTGGTCTTTATTTCTTTATTCTGTTGTTTGCCTTTTTTCCCAATCTTTCATCCTTTCTCTAATAATAGCTCTCGTTCTCTTTTGCTTTTCTTCAAGTGGCTTTTTTAAGCTACTCAAGGAGAAACTGCTGGAGACCAAAGCAAGCAGTCCAGTAATTCTGATTACTAAAAATTTCTGGGGAAAACTAGTATTGTGTTCAGATTAGCTTAGAGCATATTGGTCAGGGTGAGGCCTTCAGTGAAAACTTGTATGAAGGTATTACAGGACAAAAACAAGAAAATAAACTTAACATCACAATTTTCTAAAAAAGATTCTAGCTTTATTTTGGATATTAAAAATGTCAGTTACTGACATAAACTGAAACTTTGTGGGGATAAATCAGTACCAAGCCCCTGTGAGCGTCAAACTTCCAAGTCAACATGCAAAAGTCACAAGGTGTCACTTAGTAGTGCCCTAGGGGAAAAATAACAGGTCAATGCAAGAAACATATTTAACAATTATCAATGAACTGTATGATAACCTGTAAATTTAACATTTTATGATTTGGTTTCATGATGTTGCACATAGAAAGATTAGGAGAGCATAATTGAAGCAGGAGACTCAGATGAGATCAGTCCCATTTTAAAGCATTGCAATCTTGTTTATGTAGCTATAATAAACAATAGTTTTGCATTTATAATAGAAATAGCCAATGCAAACTTGCCACACTGTAGTCACACCTTTCTTCCACTGTTGGCATTGCAGAATCTCTTTAATCTTGGTGTTACTTTCCTTATGGTCTTGACCCTCTAATTGGATTCCTAAATTATAAAATCCTTAGAACAGGACAGGCCTTCAAGTATAGTTCTGTTGGAGATACTTATCCTCTAAAGAGGGAAATTAACCAGGGTGCCACATTTTCTTCTTGAGCCTTAAAAATTATCAATTCACTAAATAAAATGAAAAGCTCAAATTCTTCAATCCCTTTCTAACTAAAGACAGCAGCTGAAAAACAAAGTTGAGAAGACAGTTGAACTCACTCATAGAAGTGGCATTTGGAGATGCAAAGGTAAGTGCAGTCCCTTTGAGCCTTGATGCTGAAGATGAGAGGCTCACCAGTCAGCACAGCAAGCTGTCCTACAATCTCTCCAGGATGAGCAACAAACAGACAATTCTCCTCTTCCCTGTCAATCATCCGCTGGTAAACATGCAACAGCCCCGATATCACAAAATGAATGCTGACATCCTAAGAAAGAAGTGCAGTCAGTGAATCCTCTTTTTTTCTATATGACATCACTCCATTTTCGGCAAAAAAAAACCCAACACCACTCATATACCAACAGCCCTCCCCATCCCCCATGGCTTTTACACCACTGGACAGAAAAAGAGCAGAGTGCTGGTGCTCCACGATGGATAACCTTCTTGTGCCAACTGCAGTCTGCAGAACATCAACAGTTGGCGATGGATTGTACAAAATGAAAGAGTGAGCTAATAACTAACAACTTTAAGATGACATTGCAAACCAACAGATTAAAACTCAAAGCTAAACATAGCACGCTGAACTTGGGCATGGTGTACACCAGCTTTTTCAATTTGAGAGTTAGTGTGGATGGTGCGAGGGTTTACAGGGTATCAATGGATATTGAAAGATGGGCATGAATTGAAAGCCTTGGAACAATATAACTGCAGCAAGAGATGAATTTATAAACTTGCAGTTAGATAGCTACAATCTGGCTTTTCTAAAGGATAACCCGTGGAGACAGTGAGGGTCATTGCTTGTCCAGGTGTCATAACTTGCACTGAGTGCTTCCAACAGTTTCACACTTTGCCAAATTGGAAAGAAAGGAGATAGAACAAAGAGAATTTTCAGTGAGATTTAGGTCTCCCCACAGGTTGATAGCCTAGGTGTAATCACATGATTGTTTCAGGGATCTCATTTGGCATCTACTCAGGGCAAACTGCATAGAAAATAGGTCAGTGTTAACATTATCTTTCTCAAACTCTGAGATTTGAGATGAGACCTTGCTGCAGAGCTAGAAGTCCTGGAGGGCAACACTTCACTTTAGTTTGTAAAGTTGTAGATTCCAAAATAGTTCAGTGGTCACTTGCCTACTTCAATAACACCTGACTAGTGCTTATCTATGTCCGAGTATTGCTATGCTGTTATTTTGACAGATAGCGGAGAATGAGTTATCTGTTTAATTTTGTTGTGTTTAACAATATAAAATGTAAATCCTCAAGGACAGGTAAAGGTCAGAACAAATTGAACCAAACCCCACCACCTCACTGAAAGTGCATAAAATAGAAAGAACAACAACTTGCAATAACATAGTAAGTTCAATATTGTAAAACTACCCAAAGTGCTTCACAGGAATGCATTCAGACAGAAACTGATACAGGACAGGACTCCAAAAGACCAAGCGGCAAAATGTTTTAAGGCTAAAATTCCAGAGATTAGGACCTAAACAGGGGAAACCGCACATCAAGGTCAAGCAAAGATCACATCGCTATGAAAAATCAAACAGCTGCTGAGGAGAAAAGATGAGATGTGGAGATTTCTTGAACACTTTGTGTGATGAATAGAAAACCTGAAATAGAAAAGTAGAAAATTTGATTCAATAAAAGGGGGATAAAGCTTTGGAGTGTGGGGCAACATTGGAGGAGACAGAAATAGATGTGGCGAGAGAGAGAGAGAGGGAGGGAGAGAAAAGTTGGAGAGACAGACAGAAGCTAGAGAAAGAGAAAGAAAAGAAGCTGAAGAGAGAAAAACGAAACTGGATATAGAAAAAGAGGGGATGGAGGAGGGATAGATGGAGCATGGAGAGTGAGATGTAAAAGGGAAGGAGATCAAAGGGAGAGGTAGAGAAAGATTCAGGCAGAGAGAGCATGGGATCAAGGAGGGGGGACGGAGACAAATGGAAAAGGAATGAGGAGAGATTGTTGGGGGGATGGGGGGGAAGGAGGATGAAATGGGAGATAGAGGTATGAAGTAGATGGAGTGGAGGAGGAAAGGAAGAAGAGGGAAGAACAGACAGCAAAAAACATCAAGCTTCCCTGAACTACCTTTTCAAAAAAAAACCAATAACCAACTGCCTCAAGCCTCTCATTCTTGAATGAACTTTGTTTCCAGTTTAGAACCGCTTCCAACTGACAATGAAAGGAGTATTACAATAGTACATTCAACAGGACAATATAATACTGATTCTTAATAGCATGACTTTCATACTGACTGTCGCATCTTTTGGCACAGGAAGGATAATCTCATTCACAGGGACTATCAAATCATCGACATGGGAAACACTACTGAGGCACAAGCAACACTCAACACCTAATCCGTGCTGGGGTGTTTAACTTGACATCAAATACTTGAAATATGAACGAATTCTATTCCTCAACAAGATGATCAAAAAAATTAAAAATCGCACTTCTCACAATTTTATGACACACACACACACACACACACACACACACACACACACACACACACACAGGTACATCTCTCCTGAATAATCACCATCATCATTCCAGCTAGAATTGCAAATAAGCTTGAGCAGATCAGTCCGCACTTCATGGATGATCTATATTACTCCAATAAACAACTTCGTAACAGAAGCCACACAATTTCATTAATGCCAGTGGCCTCTGAATTTATAAAATCAGGTGCATTTAAAAGGCACCATGAAATTCTGTCCAGCAAGACACAAAGTAAACTGCATCCCAGTTTATACACCCACTTCTGTTCTTGAGAGATATTTTGAATAATGACGTTTGATTGCAGTGTAATTACTGTTCTGGTCATATATCATCGCACTTCAGATGCCAGTTGCCCTTTCTGGGCTTCTATAAGGATGTTATCTGCCCAGTCATGCACTGCACCACAAAATCACAGAATTGTTATTGTGCATTCAGTCCATTGTGTCTGCACCACCTCTTTGAATGAGTAACATAAAACAGTGCTATTCTCCCACCTCATCTTTCCTCATAACCCTCCACATCATTTTGATTCAAATAATCATCTTTTGCCCTCTTGAATGTCTCAAATAAAGCTTCCTCCACCACACACGAGTATAAGTACAATTAAGTTTTGCTACAATTGCAAAGGGCTTCAGTGAAATCACACCAGGAAGTACAATGCACAATCTTGGTCTCCATATTTAGGGAAGGCTATACATTACTGGTGGTAGAGCAATGACTCACTAGATTGACTCCTGGGATAAGAGTGTTGCTCTAAAGTTAAGAAAAGTTTACGAGACCTTGAAGTGATCTCAAATGAAATGTGCAAGATTCTGAAGGGACCTGACAAGGTAAACAGAAACAGTTTCCTTTGGTTGTAAAATCTAAAACACAGGAGTTCAATCGCAGGATAACAGAACGATCTTTTAGGGCTGAGATGAGGAGAAACTCCTTCACTAAGATTGAGAGAATGTCTGGAATTCTCTGTTTCACAAAGTTATGGACGCTCCATTGTAGAAGTTATGCAATGCTGAGGTGAGACATATCTATGATTTCTTAGAGAATCAAAGGATATGGGAAGCAAGCAGGAATGGAAGTTGAGTCAAAGATCAACCACGTTTGTATTTAACACAGCAGACTCAAGGGGGTGTGTCATCTATTCCTGCTCTTGTTTCTCATATTAAGTTTCAAAAATAAAAACACCTTTGTCAAGTTTTTCCACTTACCGTTGTGCCTTATCTGGAGGTGTTTGTTATGAAAAACTTAGGATGAAGGCAATAATTTGTATTTGTAAAGCACCTTCAACATAATTAAATATACAGGGGCACAATAACATAACCTGGAAGCCACAAAAGCAAAAGCTGAAACAGAGAGATAGGTTTTAAAGAACAGCTTAAGAGACGTCAGAGAGGAGGAAAGCTATAGAAAGGGAATTTCAGAGCTTTGGGGTTCAGGAAGCTGGATCTAGTGAAGACAATAGTGGAGTTTAGGGGTGCTCAGGAAGCCAGAAGGAGGTGTGTGAAGATTGTTCAGAGGACTGAGGCTGAAGGGGATTACAACAATAGGGAAAGCCAAGGCCACATGGGAGTAGAAGACCGAAATAAAAACTTTAAAATGAAAGCATGGTTTCATTAACTCGAAGTCAAAGTTAGTCAGCAAGCACATGGGTTATAGATGATTGGGATTTGGCGAGAATTCAGACATAAGCAGAACTATGGATTCAACATGCACCATTCAGATCCATTCATGGCCTGTAATGACTTCAAAAAGTCCCACCATTGCCTACTGCTCTGAAGATGCATTCTCTGAACTATTAGCTTAGAATATCATTGATTAGAAATATTGATACCTTGGAGTTAAGAGTCCGCGATGCTTTCAGAGGTCACATGACCCACAACCCTCTCACCAATTGTGTGGGTTGAAAAACCTACTGCAAGGGCCCATCACAAGGTGACGTGCTCCTAAAGGAGAATGTGAAATTTACACCATTAACTCCAGAAAAATGAATCCTGTCAGCTATAAGTGGTCCAGGAAGACTCATAGTGCCAGCAGTTTGCATGCAAAGTGACTTCAGCACAGACCAACATTTGGATAATCCGTGAATTATTTTTTCCTGAATTGAACTGGTGTTGTGGTCAGTGGAGGAGTGGGACAAAGCACAGCATCAGTCCACCCCTCCTGACAGGACCATAACACAGTGATGGGCAAAAACTATGGCCTGTCCAGCACTTTCTGTTGCCTAGGAGTCAGATTAGCTACATCCACATTCGCCTGTCAGAGCTATGCCCGTGACATCTGGCGGGCCACAGGAAACATCGGCGCAAGCATTGCTTCACATTCACCCTGCTGTAAACTGAGGTTCCAGCCCTTTCTAGCTGCTGCACTGCTGGGAAAGGAGCCTTTCAGGAGAGGGGCAGCCTTGATGGGTGTGCGCGCGCATGGAGGGGGTGGGGGTGCGCTCCACGTGATGTCTATAAACTACGGCTCTCTTTTGCCATTGTTATAAAAAGAGCAGTGATCCACTTCCACCTTCCATTGCTATCCAATGGCTTCACGTTCCTGTTTGCACCACCTAAAAGTGGTGTTTCAGCACTTGCACTCATTGCTTTTCTTTACCGAAAGGTCCATGCATGAAAAGCTTAGGTGAATGTCCTCTTACCTGGTCACCTTGTTTTGCTACAACTGTTCCAGCTTTAACCTGTTGAAGAGTTACTCTACCATCCAGCAGTAAAGGATCCTAAGAAACCAAGACAAAAAGCAGAGATAGCAATAATCCATTTTGGCCCATCTTCCTGTCATTCTAATTTCAAAATCTATTCTGTCACTCTGATTAAAAGCCCTGAGACTGTTAGTGGTGGTACTTGGGGCTGCTAAATATAAAGTCTTAAATACCATATTTGGCCTACATTTCAACTTTACTTCTACTGCAGTAACTTTATCTCAAGGGCAGGTGAAGAGGTTCTGACCAGATACAAACCACATCAAACGTTTAATCTTTCAGCCTGGGTACAATAAATATCATTTTTCTTAAAGTATTGCTGAAAGATTGTTATAGGTTCAGCCTCAATTACAGTCAATCTCCACATGCAATGAGGATGACCATCACAACACTAACCTGGCTCACAGTTGGAGACATGACTATTACTACTGAGCCAGATGCTGAGAAGAACTGAGCAAGGTATCAGTGAAGAACGAGAAGGATAGTAACAGGCTTCAAAAGGATGTATACTTTCTGGCAAAATATGGGCTTTTGAAATTTAACGCAGAGAAGTGAGAAACAATTTAAGTTTGGTCAGAAAATGAGGCAATATAGACTACACAATGCAACTATAACAAGGTGCAGAAATAGGTGGCCCTGGGAGTGTCTTTTAAAGGCAGCCAATGAGAAAGTGGCTATAAAAAGGATCCCTTTATAGGGACATAGAGCTACAAAACCATTAAAGTCAAGTTAAACCTTTATAAACACTGGTCAGGGACAACTGGAGTATTAAGGACAACTTCTGTATGCAGAGGAAATTTAATTGAATATTGTACCAGGGATGAATGGCTTTAGTTACATGGAGAGACTAGAGAAAAGTGATTTGTTCCTTCCAGGATAGAGAAAGGAGAGATTTGATTGGGGCATTTAAAATTTTGAAGTGTTTTAATGGAATTAAAAGGGAGAAATGGTTTTGACTGGGGGAAAAGGACTGTAATTACAAGACAGACAAAAGATAATTGGCAAGCAAACTGGGGTAGCATGAGGTGAAAAGAATATACAGTACATCATTTCAAATGCACTAGCTGTAAAGATGGTGAAAACAGATTTAATTAAAACTTTTAAAAGTGAGATAGACAAATACCTGAGGACTAAAATTCACAAGACTATGAGAAAATAGTAATGGGATTAATTAGATAATTCTTTCAATATGCCTTTCCTCATAGGCATGAATGTCTGAATGGTCTCCTAATGTGCTGTTTCCTTCCATGATTCAAAATGTGCAACTAACTGGTAAAGTTAGGCAGAGCACGAACTAATTTACAATATGCTGATCTACACCAGGAAGCAAGCTCACTGTTCTTTGGCCTAGCTTATTTCAGGTTACAAGTACACTAAAGTACACTAAGCATTATTATTCACTCACATAACTACCTTACCTATTTAACATACAATTTGGTAGCAATTTGGATAAAAAAATCATCCAACACTACTTGCCTTCAACATTGTTTTGAATTTTTAATTCAAGTGTTCAAGAATTTATTTAATGTCATCCTATAAAGGCTAAATTCCAGATGAAAATCTTGGGTAATGATTGCAATATTCATGTTACAGTGATCATTCACCACTAAAATTTTAACAATTAGTTAACACTAAGATAAGCGAAGCACTTAGCTTCAAGGTAGAATTTCTAAGAGAAAACACAAATTGTATGAATAACAGAGACAGCAAGGTGCAGGGCTGGATGAACACAGCAGGCCAAGCAGCATCATAGGAGCAGAAAGGCTGACGTTTCGGGCCTAGACCCTTCATCAGAAAAGGGGGAGGGGAAGGGGGTTCTGAAATAAATAGGGAGAGAGTGGGAGGCGGATAGAAGATGGATAGAGGAGAGGATAGGTGGAGAGGAAACAAACAGGTCGAAGAGGCGGGGATGGAGCCAGTAAAGGTGAGTGTAGGTGGGGAGTTAGGGAGGGGATAGGTCAGTCCAGGGAGGACGGACAGGTCGAGGGGGCGGGATGAGGTTAGTTGGTAGGAGATGGGGGTGCGGCTTGAGGTGGGAGGAAGAACAGGTTAGGGAGACGGGGATGAGCTGGACTGGTTTTGGGATGCGGTAGGGGGAGGGGAGATTTTGAAGGTTGTGAAATCCACATTGAGACCATTGGGCTGCAGGGTTCCCAAGCGGAATACGAGTTGCTGTTCCTGCAACCTTCGGGTGGCATCGTTGTGGCACTGCAGGAGGCCCAGGATGGACATGTCGTCTGAGGAATGGGAGGGGGAGTTGAAATGGTTCGCGACTGGGAGGTGCAGTTGTTTATTGCGAACCGAGCGTAGGTGTTCTGCAAAGCGGTCCCCGAGCCTCCGCTTGGTTTCCCCGATGTAGAGGGCTCTGGTTTGGTTTAAAAATTCTTCCCAAATTGAAAATCTACTGCACAGTAATGCATCAAACCCTCTTGTTGCTGAGTCTGCCCAATTTGACCTAAATGGTGTATTCAACAATTACACTGTACACTTCTGTAAACAGAACTGGGCATTTTAGTATGTTAAATATGCTACATGCGTGCGAGTCCATAACTTTGTTATCTGTACTCCTGGGGCCCTCACTTCCATCCCAAAGACACGTGAAAGTGGGATATGAAAATGTTGGTCAAACACTAAAAATTGGGAAAGAATCACTAAAGACCAAGACTTCTGGAGGCTCACTGTTGGAAAGGGCAGTTGAGGAGGCAAACAGAAACCAAAAGCTCAGCTGGCTGAAAAGAGGAACCAGAAAGAAACCGTTTCACTGCCATCCTCTGCATCAACATGTAGCCACTTCAAGCATTGCTTACAGAGTTAACCACCATGGCAGATGCAATTCATACAAAATGTTTGTTTTAAAATACAGAACACCACAAATTTGCAGGGCCATGACACCTTCTCTGTATCATTCCAATTCAATCTCTGGTGATTGACCTCTGTCTTATGAAGTAGAAGGTTGACACTACCATTAGAAATGCAAGTTGATGTTGTGGTTATTGGAGTGCATGCATTTCAAACTGCAAACTGAGAGTTTGCTGCTAAATCACAAAAATGATATCCCATCTGAAGTAGACATGTACAGAATGACCTACTAACTTGACAAGTCAGCACTGAGGGTGTATTGTTGATTTGTGTGGACCTGGAGTCAGACCCAACATTTCAAACAGTAGAAAGCATTAGTTAGGCAACTGGACAAGTGTAGTAAAGATTGCATTTATGTTCAAATACTTCTTTTAATTTGGGTTCATTGGGTTAAAATGTCCTTCCTCACCAAAACACACCAAAGGTCACAGTGAACTGACTGAGGCAGGGCTCAGGTGACAGATCTGGTAATTGGTCAGGAGATGGGAGTTTATGTACGGTGCAGGTTCTTATGGATCTTCAAGTGGTCATCAGTATTCCACAAAATAGTTCATACAAAGTTTTTTTAAAATTTGGAACATTTCACAAATTTGCATATCATCTTTGCGTAGGGCCATACTAATCTTCCCTGTATCATTCCAATTTAATTTTTGGGGATTGAGGCCTTTGAAATCTTATGTAATGGAGAATTAGTCTTCTACTTTGAGGGAAAACATCCAAATTGTGGGGCAGGCTGGAAATTTACATTAAATACACAATATTAAATCAGAAAGATCTACAGACAATGACTTCCAATACTTGTCTAACTATGCAATAAATACAACCAATAAAAGGTTATTACATTTATTAACATTCAAGTTAATTTCTTTTTAAACAACTTCACTAGGTTGAGTATTTTCCTGAGGCTCTATATATAATTAACCTTTATGTAAATCTAACCAAATAGTTTTAGCCTACATGCACTGATCTGACAATGTGGAATTTTCCATCTTTTAAGCAGGTAACAATTAGGGGAATACCCTGGACACACAATCCCATATAGGGCACACAATAGCACATGAGCATAAGAAACCCAGGGTGACAGGGAAAAGCCCAAGCTATAACAACCACCACTGAGACTGTTTCAGCTCCTGCACGCTAACTCGGTTCAGTAATATTTACAACAAGGCTTCTCAAAGTGGAGGAGCAAGCTAAAATTTTGGGAGCTGTGGAGCTCCGACTGATTTACAAGACATGTTCTTCCACTATAACAGACAGGCTTCCTGTATTTTCACAGGATCGCCCTGTTCTCTGCCACACACACACGGTTACACTGTACTCACTTAGGGGTTGTGACAATTTAAAAGGCTCAAAACGGGGTCACAGTAAGGGAGAAAAATGGCAAGCTGTGAATTACAATCTAATCTTCTAATATCAAAAGCAGGAAATGTATTTAGAACTTTGAGAATCATTTTGAAAGTTGCTCACAATTCTGTCGTACTGAGCATGCTCTCTCAACTGTTAACAGCCTATATTAGAGGGGTCAGGTTCAGACATTTATTGCACCATTAGAACATACCAGTATCTGAAGCAGCCTCTTGGGAAACAAACCAGATGGCTGCTCAGATTGAAAGTGAGAAAAAGACCATTAAATCAGAAACTGCCACCACAGTTCTGGTCACAAAGTGTGCATTAGGAAACAATGCTGTTTTAGATCACTAATTTTGTGGGCATGCAAATAATCCAAAGCTTGCTATCCAAACAAGCACTGCATTGTACTTTAAAATAAGTTTGAAAAATTAGCTATGGAAATGTACTTTACTAGAAAGAACCCGGCTTGTGTATAAGAAGAACAACTCTAAATTTTATACTGGTCATTCTTTTCATTGCCTTCCACTTTCTAATCCCTCTAAACTAAGCACATCTTCTGGTAGGGTTTAACTGTTGGACTTCACCACTATGTCCTGTAGAGGATTTTAAATATTTATTTGAGCATAATCATCAGATTCTGTTTATAGCAGTCACGACGTTAAACAACTGCCATTGTAATTTGTAGTAATTACAATAGCAAGACCAAAGCATGCCAGTCAAGTATTTCAATCTGCAAGGAAGTCAAGCATGTCCCTGCTGTGAGACAGGGGATCCCTGCAGGTCTCCAGTCTCAAAATCACTTTTCAAGAAGTTTCAATTGAGCTCAGAAATTGTTAATCAGATTGATCACAGACCCAAGAAGTAAAAAAAAAAATCATTTTAAATAACATGGACAAAAATATAATTACCTAAATTCATATCTAAATAGAAACCAACAAGTTTCAGGCAAAAGTTTAAAAAGTGCAATTCACTAAGCATACTGAGTCATAGTTTACTACATCCAATGTATGCGTGTATTTCACACCCACAAATAGATAAATCATCACATTCACAGGCCATCAGTGCTTGCAGGTACCAGCAGTGTCCTTTCCAATTCAATTAACCTGTAACTGGGGAGCTTTATCCAGCTAAATACACGCATAACAACAAGAGTTCTGAGCAAGGGTCACTGGACTCGAAATGTTAACTCTGCTTTCTCTCCACAGATGCTGCCAGACCTGCTGAGATTTTCCAGCAATTTCTGTTTTGTTCTGATATCTAGCATCTGCAGTTTTGTTTTTTATTGCATAACATCATCACGTGACAATCAGTTTGTAATTACTGGAAACCATTCAGTAGCCAGATGAATTATTTATAATATTTCATCCATTTCTTTTATTAGATACTGAACTTGTACTTTTTTTTTAAGCAGACAATATATGTAGGTCAGTGTTCATACTATCTACACACACACTTCCACCATTCAATGCAACATTTCTGATCAATATAATCAGTTGTGGGTCTTTCGCCATATTCAAACAAGGCCAGAACAGATCAAAGGTTCCTCCGCACAAAATTTAGCATAACTGAAATGTCATCATAATAGGAAAAGATAGAAATCAAACATTGAAGATTTTCAGTATCCTGCTGGAAATTCCAGAAATGAACTGACCTTCCACAACTGGCATGCTCTTTGTGACATTGAACACATGTTGAAATACTACATAAATGGAAGTTTCTTTGGCAGTGGGTAATTTGAAAGAAGATTTGATAGCATTTTGGATTGTAAGAAAAGAAAACATTCAGGGTCATTGAGACCTGTGTGTGGATCAAGGACAGTTTAGGCATTGTAGCACATCTACAGTAAAACTGTGATACATCAGTCACAGGGAGGCCCCATCCACAAATTCATGCCAAATCAAACTGTGACAGTAGCTAAATAAGGTTCCCAACCCGAAATGTTAACTTTCCTACTCCTGTGATGCTGCCTGGCCTGCTCCACACTGCGTTATCTGACTCCAGCATCGGCAGTTCTTACTATCTCCGAGCCCTTACGTAACCTAACCTGCCTACAAACATGCTCCATGAGCATCTCCAATGGTCCTTGTGGCTTTAGTTCAGGAAACAGGTGCACGCTCACTCTCTTTGGAGACACCAGGATCATAATCATGCCATTCTTTCAATTTGTTCATTTTCCTGATCCATGTCTTTAAAAACACTGCTGGTCATCCAGTGGTTTTGTCAGCTTTACACCTCGTGGGAAGTGTTTTGACATTCACAAAGCAACAATTAATTGATGGAAATTTCAATCACAAGCAGCGGAAGGTTTTCAGTGCCACCCAAGTTGACAGAGACCATTACAATCGTTGCTTCACTTTCCATTATTGCACATTTTCAGGTTTGTTCCTGATTTCACTCCAGCATAAGCCAAACTCCCAAGTCAATGGCATGCTCATGTGGCAAAGGTGCACAAGTTTGGCTAATCCAGAATTACCAGCCAGGAACTTGGGCTCATCAAGGGCTTCACTTTATTGGATTTCCTCCTCTCTCAGCAGGAATGATAACTTAGCCAGAACCAGAGTTTCAGGTTATCCAAATCTGACTCGTCACAATTCCATCTATTTGTACATAAGTAGCAATACAGCACCTGTGACAATAAAAAAAAACTGATTTTGTAAGAAAATATCTTGAGAACTCACATCAAGTTTCATTAAGGTCAGAAGATCTTTCTTGGCAGCCTCGAAAATGGCGTGCTGTTGTCTGTGATTGTTAATTACACTTGCTCGTTCTTCACCCTCAGTGTAGTGGTGAACCGCAGAAGGCTGCTCCATCATGGTAACACTTTTCTTCAGGGAAGACTATGGGAACAAAGAATTGATGTTAGATATCACTAGCATGTTTTTCGCTACTTTTCAAAACAAAATTAATTCTGCCTCCAGCACTGTTTTTGTTTTAAAGTCAAATGATCTCAGTGCCTATCAGGCATGCCTACTCGCCTAATCAGCTGGGGAGAAATGTGTTCACTTTGCAGTCAGGACACTGTGATTGATACATTTGGAAGCAACAGAACTCTCACTCCGAGAAAAGTTTGAAGAAGTATAATCTCTACCTTGTTACCTTCAAATTAGGCCACATGGCTCAATTCAAATTTTCAAGTAGGTACAATTTTCTGAAGTGTCAAAAGGAAACTAAAAGGAAGTCGGACTGGGATCATGTTGCACAAACATGGTCTTAAGTGAACAATTTGTCTTGAAGTCTGACATACTGTCATGTTGCCTCTCTCATACTTCCTTAAATTCAATAGTACTCAATAGAATCCATAAAACAACGTATCACTGTAAAGTTTATTGAACCGAACGGATTTCACCCTCAGGTGACTGTGTGGAGTTTGCACATTCTCCCCGTGTCTGTATGGGCTTCCTCCGGGTGCTCCAGTTTCCTCCCACAGTCCAAAAGATGTGCAGGCTAGGTGGATTGGCCATGCCAAATTGCCCATAGTGTTCAGGGATGTGTAGATTAGGTGGGTTATAGGGGGATGGGTCTAGGTGGGATGCTCTGAGGGTCGGTGTGGACTTGTTGGGCTGAAGAGCCTGTTTCCACACTGTAGGGATTCTATAAAACTCCTTCTTTATAGACCGATGAAGAAACTATCAGCGCGCCCAGGGCACAGCAGATGCGTGCAAAGTCTGTTTAAAATCAAGCAAGATCTAAATCAAATTAATGCTCATCAGCTCAAAATCATTTTAGTAACACAAAACAAATCTACTGAAACTTAATAGCGTCAAAACCATCCTTCAACAAAATCACAGGTGATAGTGTGCCTCATAAAGACTGCATGTTTCCTCCCACAGGGAGGTAGCCCACTTTCCCAAGCGTAGGTCTACCTGCTGAGGGTTTAACCAGGTCTGAACATTCAGCACCAAGTAAACCATCTTGGAGCTACTTAGAGCCACATACAAAGGCTCCACTCACTTCTCTTTCTTTCCCCATACAATAAAGGGGGTTTAAAAACGAAAAGAATATGTCACTCAAATAGTGTATTCATCATGATTTTTAAATTTTGCCCAAATTTGCAACGACAGATTTACACTCTTTATATTATGATACCACATTTATAAGGATATTAAATAAAAGAAATGCACATATTAGCTGTGACTTGTGTAGTCAAACCCAGAATAAAATGGAACAAAAACAAGAACCGCTGGAAAAACTCAGCAGGTCTGGCAGCATCTGTGCAAAGAAAGCAGAGTTAATGTTACGGGTCCAGTGATCCCTCTGAAGAAGACTGGACCCAAAAAGTTAACTCTGCTTTCTCTCCACAGATGCTGCCAGACCTGCTGCGTTTTTTCCAGCAATTTCTGCTTTTGTTTCTGATTTAAAGCACTTGCAGTTCTTTGAGTTTTTTTTTTAAGAAAGGAGTTGCATTCCAGAGTATGATAAATCTAAAAGTCTATCAGATTGAAAGCCAGTAAGCCACAGCAAAAACAAAACTAAGCTGCATTAAGTTGGTTGGATTGAGGTAAAAGTGGAAGTTTATGATGTTTAAATCATTATCTTACTTGTTCACTGTACCTATTTAAATACTATTACTTTAGGGTTTTTTGTTTAAGTTTGTAAAGATTCCTTTAGTATTTCAATTCAACACTGGAGTCCTGTCACTTATTGGTTTTTCCACACTTTATACTCCTTAAATAATTATAATCTATCAATATAGGTCCTAACAGATTTCCAGATTCGCCACTATTCATGGACCAGGATTGTAACAAATGCAACATACAGATTAATACTTGAATTTAAATAATTCTTTACCCTACTAAAAACTTTAGAAAACAGCTTACACAATTATGTTTGAAGTGCAGTAACCATTGTTATTTAAGCAAATTTGTGACATCTACTGGGTTCATCTTTATTTAGAATGGGAGAGACTTTTTTTTAATTTGGCATTGGTGCATAACGGAAGGTAAGTTTGATGCAAGTTACCCTACTCAGTTTTAGATCCACTTAGCACTCTGTGTTGATCTTAGGACCTAGAACCTGGATTCAAATCAACATGTACCTTGAGAGCAGACATGACAGGACTGGAACAACGTTCCTCCGCTGATAGGCTAATTCTTGCCCTTTCATAAGCCATATCCATGTCAGATTTACTACTGGTTGCTCCTCCTGCAACAAGAACCACCAATTATCTCAAAGCAAGAGAACAGATTACTTACCCAATTTCATAAAGATACACAGATTACCAGTCTGCAATAAATATCTGGTTTATATAAACATAGCCACAATACTGGTTCTCAGATTCATTTTTGCAGACAAATGAAGTCAAGTTGTTGATGTGGGGGTCTAGTTTATATGTAATTAACCTTTTCTCAGTGAAAGAGCTCGAATTTGGATTGCAGTCTACATCTCCACTTATAAAGGATTGAGTGCCTGGTGCTGAAACCTGAGCTTCATGGCAGGGGAGTGTTTCTTAGTTTGAGATTATTGGGAATAAATCTACATTCAAATGAAAAATTAATAAAACTTTCAGCACCACAGGAAAAACTAATGAGCCAGGAGCAGTGATGGCACATCCTGTTCTGATATAATCGAAGGGAGCAATATGTCAGAGAGGAAAAGCATCTTTCAATTGCACATCAAGCAGCAAGGTTGTTCTGCTCAATTTGAAATAAGTGTATTAAGCAACGTCTCTCAGTTTAAAGTTGAAGATGCCATTTTAATTAAATAAAATAGGTTTGCGACAGCAATCTCTTGAGTATATACACAAATGGCAGCAATACCTCGTTTTCCCTAAGCTGCATCAAAACCACAATGTATCAGTGACAAGAGTCACATAATTGCAGCTCTACAAATGGGAAAAGAAAGATATCAATATAAAATTCTGATGAGGCTACTGACGGATGGATTTGTCCACTTCTCGTAATGATTTCAAGTGAGGGAAAACAGTCATGCCAGGCAAGGGTAAAGACATGACTAAGTTAATCTCTAATGCTCTGCCTCAAATGATCAGCACTTTCACACAAAAACTAGCCACTCGAGGAAAGCATTATAGTGGATGAGCACTGCTCAAACTGCAATTCAGTCAAGGTCAACATCTTCAGGAATATGAGAGAGAAAACTGCGAGGAATAACCTTACAGAGCAGAGGATGAGCAGTGAACCCGAAGTAGCCTCCGCTACATTAGGGAAACCAAGCGGAGGCTTGGAGACCACTTTGTGGAACGCCTACACTCAGTTCGTGACAAACGACTGCACCTCCCAGTCGCGAACCACGTCAACGCCCCCTTGCACTCCTTGGACGACATGTCCATCCTGGGCCTCCTCCAGTGCCACAACTATGCTACCCGAAGGCTGCAGGAACAGCACCTCATATTTTGCTTCGGAGCCCTGCAGCCCAATGGTCTCAATGTGGACTTCACGAGCTTCTAAATCTCCCCACCCCTGACCTCATTGCAAAACCAGCCCAGCTCGTCCCCGTCTCCTCGACCTGTCCGTCTTTTCTCCCACCTATCTGCTCTTCCCACCTCCCTGACCAACCCCCACCCCACTTCCTACCTACTAGCCTCATCCCCGCCTCCTTGACCTGTCTCAACTGACCAACCCCCATCCCAACTCCCTACCTACGCTCACCTTTACTGGCTCCATCCCCGCCTCCTCGACCTGTCCGTCTTCTCTCCACCTATCTGCTCCTTTATCGACCTTCCATCCGCCTCCCCCTTTCTCTCTCTATTTATTTCAGAGTCCCCTTTCCCTCCCCCATTTCTGAAGAAGGGTCCAGACCCGAAATGTCAGCTTTCCGGCTCCTCTGATGCTGCCTGGCCTGCTGTGTTCATCCAGCTCTACACCTTGCTATCTCAGATTCTCCAGCATCGGCAGTTCCTACTATCTCTGAGTGAATCTACGTGTTTGCTTGTCTCTTGGTTTTAAGTGTTTCATATGAATAATGAATAGCCGAAAAAATATTTGTGCCACCGTATTATTTACTTAAATAAAACCATGCAACTGTTTTGTCTATTCTGGCACTTAGATTATGGTCCCTAGGTCTTCTGAATCAAGAAAATAACTGCACATTCAACACATCTCATTTGAAAAGACCCAGGAAACTTAAATTGTTGTGCATGCTTTGGTTGTAGCTGTTAATTGTCAGTGTATTTTGACCCTAAGGACAACCTGAGCATTGCTGCACATGAACTAAACATCACAGAGAGGCTCCTGCAGTACACAAAGGAAGGAAGGGTCTGGCAGATCACCCCATAGATACGGTAGACATTTTGCGTCATACCCATGTCTGATGATACAATGCTTTCCATGCGGCATTAGTTTTTTGTTAAAATCACTCTGGCATACCCTCTCTACTTTCGAGACCAACAAAGTGGAATTCCTGAAATTGATGCTTACCCTCCTGATGTCAAGTGCAGCACTGCCACCAGTGCTCAATCAAGATTGCCAAATTTAGCAACTGACCAGGAAGAAAATTTGATATCTACCTGGCTTGTTCAGCTCAGTGCCAGCTTCATGACCCCAACTACCTGGGGCAGAAAGCATTCAAAAGTGGTGCAAATATCATGCTGTATACATCACTGACCTGGGATATCCAAAGGTGCAGAAGCTGAGCGCACTCTCTTGTTTAAAGTATCCCCTGCCACATTCCTGTAATCTGAAATAAGGAATAAAGGAAATTCTAATAGAACTCAATCTTAAAAAATATCTGGCAGACCTGTCTGAACAGGTCGATTAAAAAGATATATTAAGAAAACTGACAATGTGATGTAGCTAATTTAGGAGGTACATGCTTTGAACAGTGGTAACCTCTCTGCCTCTGAGCAAGAAGGCCGGAGTTCAAGTCCCACTTGCTCCAAAGATGTATAGTGACGTCTCTCAACAGGTTGGTTAGAAAATATCTATATTGGTACTAGAGGTGCTCTTGTGATGAAGTAGTAGCATCCCTACCTCTGAGTCAGGAGGCCTGGTGCAAGACCTACCTGCTCCAGCGGTGTGCAATAACCTCTCTAAACAGGTTGATATGTGAATATAAATATTTTCTATGGGAATCACCAATCATTTCACTTTCCATAGGTGACAGGAGAAATATTCGTGCATTATCACACAATAGACATAAACAAGTGAACCAATCCTGACTGCTGGGTGACAGGCTGCCAGTAATGCTGTGCCTACATCTTTGGTGCCTAGTTTCAAATCTAGCACAGACAGACAGCATCAAGCTCACTCCATGTGAAACGAGCTCAGGACTTTCACACCTATCCCCTGGTAGACCTCAGAAACACTCTAATTAATGGCTTTAGAGGAACGACAATGATGACTGGCCTGGAAAATAAGAAGCATCAACTATATTGACAGTCTTTTTCTGCAGCTGGGAATAATGCATTGTTGAATGAAGCTATGTGTAGTATAGCTGACTGGCCAGTGCTCAAGACCAAATAGGAATACCACAAATGCAGCACAGCATAACACAAAGGAAAATTTCAAAGCCAGCTTTAAAGTGATTTAAAAATTACAATTACGAAGAGTTACATTCACATGGTATTCACGATTGTTAAACTTGATTCAGCATCCCTCCTCACGTTTCCTATGGCATCAGGTCAAACATAAGCAAGGAAACCTCCTGCTGATTAACATCAACCTAGCTGATGAATCAATAGTACTCTATGCTGAACATGACAGATCAAGTGAGGAAGCACGGAGGGTAGGGGCACAAGCTTCAACATCCATCACCAAAAGTGAATGGTACCACCACCACTATGCGAGCTGCTGAGTCTTAAACCACATAGCTGCTAGGTCGGGTCGGAGGCATTTGCTGAAGGAATCAACAAAAGCGCAAACCTTTTTGACCTTGTGTTACAAAGTTGTGTAGAGTATTCATGAATTGGAAGGCAGGAATTTAGAACTGGTTGGTAAAAATGATTGTGGGGAAAAGCAGCAGGTAGTCCCTTTAAGAGATTGTGCTTTGTGCTTGTAAGTTTACAAGTACTGTACACAAAGCCCCAAAATTGAAACACGTGTATCAAAAGGCATTACAGTTGGCAGGAAAAACAGCAGTTTTGTTTTGGTATTGAGACAAAAAGTTTGAATTTAGCCAATTAATTTAAACCAAGCATCTAGATACAGAAAACCAACTGAATTTAAAGCTGACGGCTTTGACAACCTGAAACCGATCATATTATAAGAAATTGATGTGTCATTGGAGTGTATACAAGATGAGGACTTTTGAAAATCGGGGAGAGCCAACCATCATCTAAGGAGAAAGCAAGCCCGCCATCCGAGAAATAAGCCCCAAGCTTTCAAAAGAAATCACTTCGCTCTCTAAGAAAGCACCATCTATCCGAAAAAGGTACCATGGCATGTTAGCTCAAAGTCCTTGCCGAAGAAATTACACAGAAAAACATCCCTGACAGCAGAATCAGAGGAAAAAGGCGTTTGTGGCGTAATGGAGAAGGCAGAGCGTGCCAGAAGATACAGTCTGTGCAAATTTGGAGAGATTACATTTTAATTTATTGTTGTCTTTTAATTGGGTTTATATAAATGGGATGTGTTTATTTGAACGGCATTCCAGTAGAATTTAGTTCAGTTAAGGAATAGTTAGGAGTTGGGGAGGAATTGTTCGGTTGGTTAGTAATTCCATTAAGCTGTTCATTGCTAGGGTTAAATAAATAAATTGCTACTTGTTATTTATAAGGTGGATCAGGGATTTTCTTTTTTAAGCCACTCTTTTAACAGATTACAAGGGGAAAGGCGAGCTTCTCTGGGTATTACGGGTTTAATTATTAGAGGGGCACCTCTACTCCTGCCGTAACAGATTGGGGACTTGTGTTTCCATTTTAATTATCAGAGGGGTTTGGCATTCCCCTTCTCCATAACACTCGGCCTCACCAACCTTATTGGAGGAGATGAGTTTGTCCACAAAAGGTAGGAGTCACCACAGCACAGGTACTGTGGAGACAAAGTATTCGCAGTGAGCATACTCTCCATTCTGTTGTGTGGCAATACCACCATGCTTAACAGGCCAGTCTTTAAACAGATCTAGCAACTCAAATCTAGGCATCTAAGAGGTGCCGTGGGCCATCAACAGCAGCAGAATTGTGTTCAACAATAATCCGAAACTCATGGCCTGGCATATCCCTGACTCTACCATTACCATCGTGCTGGGAGATCAATACTCATTCAGTGAAGAGTGCAGGAAGGCACGCCAGCAGCAATACCAGACATACCTAAAAATGATGTGTTAACATGGTGAAGCTACACTACAGAACTGCTTGCATGCTAAACAGCAGAAGCAACATACAGGGCTAAGTGATCCCACACCAACAGATCAGATCTAACTTCTGCAATGCTGCCACATCCAGTTGTGAACGGTAGTGAATGATTACAACTCACTGGAGGAGGCAGCTCCACTAATATCCCCATCCTGAATAATGGGAGAGCCCAGCAAATCAGCACAAACACACACGCTGGATTATTTGCAAACGCTTTTCAGTCAGAATTACTGCATGGACAATGCATCTCTGTCTCCATCCGAGGTCTTCCAAATTAATCAATTCTATTTATTCCATATCACGTTATCAAGAAATGGCTAAATACATTGGGTACTGAAAAAGGCTATGGGTCCTGAGATCATTTGGCAAAAATGTTGAAGACTTTGTGCTCCAGCACCAACTGTGCCCCTAGCCATGCTGCTCTAGTACAGCTACAAGAGTGACATCTTCTAAGCCACGGGGAAAACTGTCCAAGTAAGTATTGTCCACAAAAAGCAGGAAAAAAAAATCTAACACAGCCAATTACCACCCTAACGACAAAGTAGGCACCCTAACGACAAAGTAGGACAGAGTCAGCAAGGCTTACAAATATGTTGTAATTCTTCGAGGAGGTAACAAGTAAGTTAGACAAAGGAGAGCTAGTGGACTTCCAAAAGGCCTTTGACAAGATGTCGCACAGAATAAGATAAGAGCCCATGGTGTAAGGGACTGGCATTGGCAGAGGATTGTCTGACTGTCAGAAGGCAGAGAGTGGGGTAAACGGGTCTGTTTCAGGATGGCAGCCAATGACTAGTGGAGTTCCACAGGGGTCAGTGTTGGGATCACAACTATTCACGTTATACACTAATAATCTGGATGAAGGAACTGAGGACATTGTTGCTAAGTTTACAGATAACAAAAAGATAGGTGAGGGGCCAGGTAGTGATGAGGAAAAGAGGAAGCTGCAGAAAGACTGGAGCAGGTTAGGAAAGTGGGCAAAGAAGTGGCAGAAAGAATCCAATGTGGAAAGTGTGAGGTGCTTTGGTAGGAGCACTTCAGCAGAAAGAAAAAGGGGTGTAAACTATTTTCTAAACAGGGAAAGGTTTCAAAAATCTGAAGCACAAAGGGACTTAGAAATCTTAATTCCTTTAAGATTAACATGTATGTCCAGTTGGAGGTTAGGAAGACAAATACAATGTTAGCACTCTTATCAAGGCAGCTAGAATACAAGAGCAGAGATGCACAGTGTTAATGCTGTGTAAGGCTCTGGTCTGACTGCATTCGGAACATTATGAGCAATTCTGGGCAACAGAGGGGGTCCAGAAGAGGCTTACAAGAACGACCCTAGGGATGAAAGGCATGTCATAGGAGAAGTGGCTCAAGACTCTCAGCCTGTACTCAATGGAGTTTAGAAGGAGAGGGGAGGTGTCTGAATAAAACTTACAGAATACCAAGAGGCCTGGACGAAGTGAACGTGGAGAAGATATTTCAACTAGTAGGAGAGATTAAGACCTGAAAGCACAGCCTCAGAGTGATGGGATGACCTCTCTGAACTGAGATGAGGAGGAATTTCTTCAGCCAGAGAGTGGTTAATCTGTGGAACTCATTGCCACAGAGGGCTGTGGAGGCCAAGTCACTGAGTGTATTTGAGGTAGAGGGGGATAGGTTTTTGATTAGTTGAGGATCAAGGATTACGGGGAGAATGAGCTTGAGAAACATACCAACCATAATCGAATAGTGGAGCAGACTCAAATGAGTCGAATGGCCTAATTCTGCTCCTATACCTTGTGGTCTTAACAGCCTACTCGTAGTCATCTGCAGCTCAGAGGTAGGGACACTACCATTGTGAAAGGCATTCATCTCCCAACTTAGCTACACCACATTGTCAGTTCCTTTACAGAACTTTTAATCAACCTGCTCAGACATATTATTACACATCTCTGGAGCAGTTGGGACTTGAACTCAGGCCCAGAGTAGGGACACTCGCACTGCTCCACCATAGCCTCAAGCAGCAGTATAGATATTTTCTATATCAATCTGTTCAGAAATGGTATTACACATCCTTGAACCACAACATTGTGACTCAGAGGTATGGACACTACCAATGTGTCACAAGGGTCTTCTGGTACCAGCACAAATATTTGTAATCAGCTGTTCAGAGATATTATGACACACCCCTGGAGCAAGTGGAACTTGAGCTCGGAGTAACCCTGGCATGAGAAATTACATTTTGGAGCTGAGGTTGTTTGTGCTTGTTAAATGGAGTAAGGGAACTCAATTTTACTATCTTTGGATTTCTTAGGGTATTTTTAAATTTACTTCTATTGATAAATTTGCCTACATTGTCAACCTATTTCTAATTTAAATCAACACATTGTCTACCTTTCAAGTCCAGTGACATTTCACA